TGCATCATCAAGCATTTCCCGACGAGACGAGAGCAATATGGAGCCCAGCGCGTTGAGCCAACGTACTGCTCAAGCTTCACCTTCCCTGACTAATTTGTTTTTAAGGCTTTTCCCACCAACCTAGCCACTTCCTCTTCTTCTTTCGATGCCACAGCTTCACAAGAATGTCCTGGAGAGCTCGACTTGCCAAGAGGGATCGGCACTGACGCAATGTTTTCGGATAACTACAACATCCTCCAATGCACCCATGGCAGCAAAATGATCAAAGACAGATGCAGGCTTAGCAATCAATAATTGCAAAGTTGAATCATCAGTGTCAACTGCAATGGTGTCTGACCTCTTCTTCCATTCATCAAACCCCCTCTGGATTTTTTCCACAGTTTTCTGAACCTGTACAGTCTGTGCAAGAGAAATTTATCACTCGCATAAAGAATAATGAACTCAATTACTGTTCAAATACCAGTTCACTGTAATTAAAACCATCAACTCGCGAGTACACTACGAGTACTCTCGGTCCCAGTGAAACACACGCGCCCAAGCGCCTCCCGCGAGGGAAACATCTCGGGAAGGAGCGCTCGCGAGAAATCACTGAGCTTGACGTGGGATCCACAAATCCCCGCTACAATTATATGACACTTATATCACTCGCCATCTAAATACTTGACTTGCCGTATAAACAAACAGAATAGTAATTCACAAACGACTTGGCTAGCATGTAAAGAAAAGCAATAATCATTTTTTAAAACCCTTCACTGATTTGTACAAAACATAACTCACACTCTCCTAGCCCGTGAAAATACCCCGTGGTTTGAAATTTTCAAAAAACCACCTCACTGGATTTTACGCACGTCGTAGTTGAAGTAACTCACAAACCACCTAGCTGGCTGGTCCAAGTACTGCGCAATTTAACTTCATGCTCAAACCACTTTACCGGCTTGTCGGAATTCTCCGTAGCTTAAAGTTTGTTGGCTTAACAAATTCACGTGTATATATAAATACAAACGATTATATATCCCTGTACTTGAAAGTTAAATACAAATTGTTTCTTACTTATTGAAAACATCTTCATAAGGCTGAGAGGTTTACCTTATTAGCTTGTTTAAATACCCGCAGATCCCCTGTTAGTCCTTATTGAGTATGTACCGTATGGTGACCTGCTGGGCTATTTGAGGAAGAGTCGGGGACTAAACGACACGTACTTCAAGGACCCTGATATCAAGCCACAGACCAGTCTATCTGCGGATCAGTTGATGAAATTTGCCTGGCAAGTCGCTGATTATTATTATGAAGGTGAACGTGATCTTCGCAGTAGAATGAACAACCTAAGAGGTGAAAAAAGAATCTAAAAATTAAGGCTTGACCGGGAATCGAACACTGACCTTTGCAATGACTGGACGCAACGCTCTGCTATCCATTGAGCTAATCAAGCCGATTGAGCTGATTAGGTCCATGGATTGAGCGTTTTCCGGCCATCGTAAAGGTCAGGGTTCGATTCCCGGTAAATCCTTATAGTCTTAAGGTTCATTTACAACCGCTTAGGTTGTTCATTCACGTTGAATTTCATATATATCGTGATATTTCAATTCGTATTCTATAAGTGTCGAATAAGGACACAGGTCTTTTCATAAAATCACGACAAAAGATTTGACAGATATTTTTGCCTGGAAAAGGACACATCATATATTAAGCATTCAATATAGCCGGATAAAGGAGTAACAAGTCTTATCTTTTCCTTATTTTAGGTAATCCATCGTGACTTGGCGGCAAGAAATGTTCTAGTTGGTGAAGGAGAGAAATGTAAGGTGACAGATTTTGGAATGGCAAGGGATGTGCATCAGGATGACATTTACACCAAAAAAAGTCGGGTGGGTATAAAACTGGGAATTTGTAAACTTTCCGGAATCGATACTCTGATAAAAAGGCAAATGAGTTACTCTTATTTTATAAGGTTCTTCTATTTGTTAATGATCATCCCCGGCAAGCGAACGTGGTCTTTATTCCTGAGAGACGAATATACCAATTACAACAGGAAACTAATGCCCAGCAGATAAAAACCAACATATGTAAATGCAGGACATCAAATTTTAAAGCTATCTAATTATCAGAAAATAAAAAATAATGGCAGCCTGCTGTGTATTGATGGGTAAGCAATTCTTAAGTGACGAAGATTGCTCAGTAATCTCTATTAATAAATTAAAGAAGTCAATTTGTTTTGGATGTTTAACCAATGATAATGATATTTACGTTTTTTTTATAATACCATTAAGGGACAAGTACTCCTTAATTTTTGCTGGATATTTCAGCGTTAATATATAATTTGATATGTAAAATTACAAAATTGTCGTGGCAACGTTCCGCACGTCCCCAAGGTTTAAAAGGTTATGAATGAAAATGTCAGGGGCATTAAAGACGACGCTTTAGAAAAGCTAAACACACGAAAAAGCACATCAAGAAAGACTCTAACAGAAAAATTCCAAAAATTTTGAACTTCAGATTTATGCTCCAAACTTTTTTGTGCGTCGATACAATAAGCATGTAACACCTCCCCCCGCCCCCCCCCAAAAAAACGCAATAGTGGGCGTTATTTAAGACCCGTGATATTTATAGGTAATCAAATGGTATGACCTACAAATTCTCTCTGAAGAGAACACCTTATTTCGTTTAAAATCGTTTTCTTTTTTTTAACTCTCAAGGGTCGCCTGCCTGTAAAGTGGACTGCTTATGAGGCTTTGTTGTATGGAGTGTACACAACACAAAGTGACGTGTGAGTAGTGAACATTATTAGGCATTTGAAATAGCCTTGTTTATTTGTCGTTAACTACAGATGTTCACATCTCCCATTCCTTTTAATTTGCAGTTGGAGTTATGGTATTCTGCTTTACGAGTTACTTACTGTAGGTAAGCGTAGATTAAAACAGAAACAAAACACAATATTGTTTTAAAAACAGTTTAATAACCTGAGTTCTGCATCAGTCATTAATTACATAATACATTTGTATCGCTCCTTTTCTCCAATGAATGAATTTTATTCTGTAGGAGGTTCTCCATATCCAGGTATAAAACCTCGTCAAATCGCGGAAAGACTTCAAAAAGGATACAGAATGCCGAAACCAAAGCACGTGGATGAGAAACTGTCAGTAAAGGCTCAGTTTATTTTATCATATAATAACTTAGCCATTAAGGATTTTCGGTTTTGATTATCACCGTTTTAAGTATTTGCAACTGTATCTCTAGCAAAAGAGGCTACTTATTCAGGGGGGTATTGCCTCAAGCAATCACCTTCCACGTGAGCACTAACTTTTGGCGCGCTTCTGTTTAATTTCCTCCCGGGCTTTCCACCTCATATTAATTTGATCACCTTTAGAAGACAAGACAATGTTTTATTTGGAGTCTTATACAGTCCTATGTATATCGACTTTATCCAAATAATTTAAAATTATAACACAAATTGCACACTAGTTGAACTATAATCAATGTTAACCTAAACAACTAATGATCTTCTTTTCTCATAGCAGTCGAATACGTATTCTGCAATTAACTTTGGCACTGCTTTGTTCTTGCTCGGAGGGTTTATTAACAACCGAAAAACATCATCTGGTGCCATTCTGTTTACTGATATATGCTTTCCACCTCCAAATGAACCCCTTAAAGCTTTTTAGTTAAGGATATAGGCACGACATCACGAAAGTGGAAATCATCCACTTCACGTCTGTTTCCTAACTTAACATTAGAAAATCTTTGGTCTCTCTTAAAATGACCCAGGTACCAGGTCATGCTGAAATGCTGGGAAGAAGAACCAAATGATCGGCCAACATTTCAAAACCTGCGCAAGACGATGAAGGAAATGGAGAGAAGACACAAGGTGAGAGATGATAAGGCGATATGATAAAGGTGGTACTATATTTAAGGAAAAGATTCATTATTTGACTGTTTCGCCACTTATCGGACCAGTACAGTTATGTAACAAAGACAACAAGTGTCTGTTAACTTGGAGATAAGGAATGAAACACATTCGGTGGAGGACTGACAGTCTAGCCGCCAAGTGAAGGACTTTTGTGAGGGCCTGTTTACATGGAGGGGGGAACCCCAGGTAGGTGAGGTGACCCCCGGTTAGGTGGAGTAACCTGCCTGTCAATATAATTTCTCATATTAATTTGATCACCTTTACAAGACAAGACAATGTTTTATTTGGAGTCTTCTACAGTCCTATGTATATCGACTTTATCCAAGTAATTTAAAATTATAACACAAATTGCACACTAGTTGAACTATAATCAATGTTAACCTAAACAACTAATGATCTTCTTTTCTCATAGCAGTCGAATACGTATTCTGCAATTAACTTTTGCACTGGTTTGTTCTTGCTCGGAGAGTTTATTACCAACCGAAAAACATCATCTGGTGCCATTCTGTTTACTGATATTCTGTATTCTTTGTTTAAGTATTCAAATAAAGTACTTCTTTTTTCTTGATAGGCAGGGCATAGAGTTAAAAAGTGTATTTCATCTTCTACGTCTTTTTTACAGATAGGACTGATCCTCTCTTCCGGTTTCTTATAAGGTCTTATATACCGACCTGTCTCTATCGCCAATTTGTGATTACTTAGACGGAGTTTAGTTAGAGTTATCCGGTGTTGGACGTTGGTGACCTGACGGAGATAATCTTCACATTTATAATTTTCTATTGTTTTAAATTTTTGGAAGGTTCGTAGTTTGTTCTTTTGGTTGGCGTCTTTTCTTACGTCATTGTCTACGTCACTTAACCATCTTTGTAATTCGATGTCTTTCAGTCTTTGTTTGATAATGTTCAAGATTCCTATGTCATTTTCATGTGCTTTTGTCCAGAGGTATCCCAGCCCTATTTGGTCTAATACGCGTTTGATTTTTTGGTCCATAATTCCTTATTCATTCTTGACTTCATATCATTATAAACCACCTGTGATAATTTGTGTTTTGGTGTTTGGTTAGAGTTAGCCAAAACTTAAAATTCCTATATTGCGCTTCGATTTTCATTGGGAATCTTCCTGTTTCAGCCCTACATGCATTGTTGCTGCAGTATTTATTTACGCCTAGCAACCATTTCAAGAATTTAATTTGAACCAATTCAGCGTGATCTTTTTCTATTTGGTCGTTACAGTCAACACCCCAAATTTTACTTCCGTAGAGAAGTATGGGGATATCAGAGCATCGAATAGCTTAATCGTCAGCATAATATTTTCTCTAAAGTTGTCACCCACCTCTTTCCTTAGTTTATAAAGTGCCTTAAGCCCAACCTTTTTTAACTCTTCTCTATCTAAACTAAAATTTCCATACGGGTTCAGTGTCATTACCAGATATTTATAAAATTTAACATTGTTTAGTTTATTTACTCCATACTTAAACGAGTAGTTATTTAAGGACTTGCCACAATTATTAAAGATCATGGCTTTTGTTTTGTCTAGATTTACGGTTAGTTCAGTTTGCTCACAGTAGGATTCCAACTTGTTGAGGAGTGTTTGTAGGCCATTTGCTGACCGCGAAAAGATCATTAAGACATCCGCATATAATAAACAGTTTATAGGTCTTTGAGAGTCATCAAGCAAAATATCGGTTGAGCTTGATGAATTTAGAAATTCGGGTAGATCACTTAGATAGAGATTAAAAAGGGTGGGTGATAACATACAGCCTTGCTTAACTCCAGTGTAACACGGAAAAGCTTCGGTCATTTTGTTATTGATTTTGACTGTTGATTTATCTTTTGAGTACATGGACATTACTATTTCTAAACAACGCCCTTTAACTCCTTCTTTTCTGAGTTTTCCGAATAATTTTTGCCTGGGTATGCGATCAAAAGCTTTTCTAAAATCTACAAAACACGAGAAAAGCAAGTTTCTGCGTTTTTGTGGTTCAGATTTAACAAAACTATCTATGAGTGTTTTTAAGATGAAGATGCTATCTACTGTACCGTGCCTTTTTTTAAAGTCGCCTTGTTCTGCTGTTAGAATCCTTTTTTTGGTCATGTAATCATACAATCGATCATTGAGGATGGATGTGAAGAGTTTACCTAATGCAGAGAGCAACGTGATGCCTCGGTAGTTTTCAGCTTTTGATCGATCATCCTTTTTATGTATAGGGACGATGAGGCCAAAACTCCAGAGCGTAGGATATTTACTTGAACTTAAAATACGATTGAATAACTCTAGTAGATGACGTTTTATGATATCTTTCCCTTCTTTTAGCACTTCATTTAATATTTTATCACACCCTGGGGCTTTGTTTACTTTCAGTTTTTTGAATGCGAAATCAATTTCTTCTTCGGATATTGCATAGTCTAGGGGGCCTGCCTCTTCTTCAATAACTCCAGTATCTTCTAGATCTGTCTGGACGCCGTTCGTTGGAGCCGCGTTTTGTTGTTTGAACTATTCATAAAACTGTCCCGCACTTACTGTTTCGGTTCCATGTGGTTGCCGTTTTCTAATGTTAAAGATTTTACCTATCTGTTTCCAGGTATCTTGAGGATTACAGAGGTCAATATCGCCTATACTCTTACTGACAAACTCTCGTTTTTTCCGTCTGCATGTCCGTTGGGAATTATTTGGCTCCTGAGAAATTTGTTCCCCAAGGGATTTCAGGTTTTATTTTTCAGTTTCACATTCCAGATCGAACGAGTTATTTTGTGATATGGCTTTAGTTTTGTTACGTTGAACTTTCAAGCCGGCTTTTTTACATGCTTCCACCAGAGTTTCACTAAATAAATTCAGCCGCAGTGTCAGCATTATCGTTTCTTAAGGCCGCTTGTAGTTTAGACTGAACTATTTGTGATTCCAGACATTCTTTTAGCTTATTCTTCAATTTGGTATCCCATAATAGTCTATTATGTTCAGATAAGGTGCATCCGTTCGAGCAGCTAGAGGAAACTGGACTGCCGGCTAGAATAGCTTTAATAGCATAAGTCACATGACAATGATCTGACAAATGTGGCATTAGGGGGTTAACGATTAAGTATCGCACATTTTAAAGTATAGCTTTAGAGCCTATGACATAATCCACGACACTGCTGCCAGGTCGCCATGATAGGTAGGGTGACTCGCCGCATGTTACCTCGCCTATCTGAGGTCCCTCACCTCCATGTAAACAGGCCCTAAGACTACTGAGAAAAAGACAAATTAATTGCAAAGACATTTGGAATTAATTTTGGAATATATTCTACAAAAACAGCTCGTAAAAAATACCAAAGAGTTAACCTGCGTAAATAAGTGTATTCTGAAGATGATTAAAAGTGGTTCCCTCTTTCTTGTAAATAAAAACAGTATTAAATAAGGTCGAGGGAGATAACACATTCCAGGATCTGCATAATTCTTCAAATCACACAAAAGACGAATCCAATAAATTGTTTATTATTCATCCAAACAAATTTTAATTTCAAAACCTGCTCACCTTGATATAGCTTTCATGCTTCATGTTTACTTTGATGTAATATTCTCTTCTTCAAAACCTTGGTTCGTTCCTCGTTACTTTTAGATTACGAGAGGATGTTTATATTCTCGCAGACATTCTTCAAATAACACTTGCAATCTCTTGAGTGGTATTTGTGCTATTCTTGCTAAGGTTTAAGGCACTTTTTTGTCTCTTTCCACTTCACTTAGCACTCAAAATCCACTGTTTTTTTTTGCCCTGTGTTCCCTGCACGTATGTTTCCCTTTATTTTTCGATGTCGTTCTGTTATCGACAAGCGTTTTCCAAATTTGGTCAACGGTAGCTACTTTTTATGCAGAATTAGCCGGGGGATTTCAGCCAATCAGAAACAAAGGAACGTTTTGAATGAACTAAGGACTAGAACTTAATTTTGCGAAAATGGAACGCACATATTTCGCGCGACTCAGATTTCGCGGTTAGATGAAAAAGGAAATGAGGCGAATTACATTTTACGAATTGTGTTTTAATGATGAACTCGACGAATCGCACAAGTGACCTTAATTTGACATAGCAATTATTAAGCTTTAATAATGATAATAATAATAATGAACTACATGTAATTATAGTAATAATCGTCACCATCGTGCATCATGATAACGTTGCAATACATTTCTAAGTCACAGCTTAAAAACTTAAGCTAACTTCATTCTTGATTGATGTTCACAGACGTACGTCAACCTGAGACAGTATGATGGCCTTCTATATGCCAACGTCCATGCCGAGAATGGGACTGAATAGTAACTGATGGTGACTATCTGGAATAAAGGATTGCAAAGTTCGTCGGCATGATATTGGTGGAGGGTTGTGTGACTATTGGAACAAAAGAACTGAAAATAAACAATTACATCACTTAGTCAAACTGAAGCTTAAACTGCGCAGATTTCTATCTGGAGGACATTAAAATTAGAATTTTTGAACATGTAAGCTAGGTCTTTTTAGATTTACGAAACAAGGAAAAAAAGGACTACAGTGCATCGTCTATTGTAAGCCAATGCATTTGAGTATATATTACAACTTTCTGAACGCAGTAGTGATATTTGTCGTGATCTTTTACATGAGGATAAAAATCGGCATTTAATGTGCATAAACCTTGTTTTGTTTTTTTAATGTTTAAATAACGGAGTGATCTTGGATTCGAGTCCCAGGTCTGACCACTAGAAGCAGTTTTTTTCGTTGGTTGCTCGAATTTCAATTCTCAGCCATGTTGTAAATAACGAACGGGTTGCCACTTACTCGTAGTAGTAGTAGTAGTAGTAGTAGTAGTAGTAGTAGTAGTAGTAGTAGTAGTAGTAGTAGTAGTAGTAGTAGTAGTAGTAGTAGTAGTAGTAGTAGTTGTTGTTGTTTTTAAATATTGCTGTTATGCGAAGATTATGGAATGTTTCTACTTGTCTGAAATTCTACAGGTTTAGATTTTACCTACTTTTTTTTAGAGATGACCGTCTTTAAACTTCAGTAAAATTTGAAAATGAAAGTTGTTGAGATTGGTCATTAAAATAGAATGAGTTGTCCATGAGAAAGACAATTAACTGAACAGAAGAAATTTTCAAAAAAGAAAGTGGTAACTATTGCGATGGCAAAGAGATCAAAATATGCTCCATCTCTTCTCATATATCGTCGCTTTATCTTTACCTTCAGTGAAGACAACATCTTTGGATAGGTGAACTTTATTCAGTCATTTAGTATTGCTTGTAACAAAATGAACTTCAGCCTTTCAAGTAAAGGGTGCATGCAAGTTCCTAGTCATCTCGTGGCCATGGGAAGTGTATACGTTGGGTTTTTTGATACTCGAAGTTCTCACACACTTAAAAATATATTCGGAAAATTTCGAGAAAAAAAAACAGTGAACAAAGAACAAAATTAACAAAAACGAATGTTCTGATTGGAATGATTGATGGGATAAATATCAAAAAACGGAATAGCACAGGGGCGGATCCAGGATCTTTTTTAGGAGGGGGTGCACTCGTCTCTTGCTCTACTTCAACACCAATAAACCACATATTTTTTTTTTTCGCAGAATACCAGTTGTATTAGAAAAACGCAGGTCATCTCAGGGGGGGAAGGGGGTTGCGCACCCCCTGCACCCTCCCCCTGGATCCGCCCCTGTAGCAATAGCAAATATAATAAACCTTTGCATCGTTTATACCAGTTTATACAAGCTATGTTGTCAAGAAACTATTGGCGGATGTATTCAAGGATGTCAAGAACTGAACAGTTCAAGGAACAATAGAACAACATAAATGAATATTAAAACGCCGAGTATGACGTCAGTGTCAGGTGTTTTCGTTTTGGGAAAATCCCATCCCCCACGAACTTTTACACTTGCTCGAAGATTCTGAATGTTTTCTGATGTTATCTCTAATGTTATCTCTGATTGTTATGATGTTATCTCTGATTGAGAAGCTGATGTATTGTTAGTCTGAAGGGTTTGAATTATAATCTTGAAGATCATCTGAAGAAAGTCTTCGATTGTGTCCGTTTTATTCAAGATATGCAGAGTTATGAAGAGCTCGATCCGCTTGATTCGTCATATCACCCAGGCTCTGTGATAGTTCCACAGTGTGAATCCTAGAAAAATTACTGTGTTTGTATGAGTTACTTGTTGTTGTCTTTTATGCTCACACGAAAATTCGTGACAATATGCTCAACAAAGTCTCTTTAACGAAAAGCATTTTGTAAATCAGACAGTCTTATTTTCCATTGCTACCCCAGTTTAGCACCAACTTCGCCTAACTCTAGAAGTGCCAAAATCGATTCCGTCAGGGAAAAACTGTTTGTTTAACAAATTTTAATTTTCATTTATACGTGCGAACATTTTACTTTTGTTCTCGAGTTTAATTTTTGCCACTTTAAATCGTATATGTTTAGTCCGATTTTAGTTTTTTTTTATCTTGTCACTCAATACTGGTGTCATGGCGACATCGAAACATTGGGCCAAATATTCAACCGTAGTTTAGCCAGTGTTTAACAAAACCGCGTTCTAAGTCATTTTCAGTTTGCCCAACGGTTTTATCTAAACACCCACCAAAGAAACTTAAGTTAAACTTCGTCTAAATATTTTGCCTATTGTGTTTAACTCTCTTCGCTAATTTTTGTTCTTGATGTTGTAAACTTTTGGAAAATGTGAGAGATTTATTGGAAAATAAGAATTTTACTCAAAATAATATCAGAAAGCAAAATCGTGAAAAAACAATGATTTCATAAAATTTTATAGGATCAAAAAGGTTATGCCCAAAAAAAACCGCCGAGAGCTCTATCAGAGAATAAGATATGACAAAAACGAATACTATCCGGCTGTTTTTGTTTTTGTTTTTTTTTTTTTTCACAGAGATCGATCTACAATAGGTCAGCAGATTACAGGTAACCATAGACTTGTCGATATTGAAAGTTTGTACAGCCATTATGATTATTATACTTATAGACCTTGTCACGGTTTTGAAAGCCGTTTTGTCGGGTAGGCAACCGAGGGAGAAATAGCAGTGTTTCATGAGAATCTTATGTCGAATAATTTTCGTAAAACGGCTGTTCTGAAAAAAAATATGAATCGTAAACTAAGACTACACAGCAACGATTCTATTAAGAAATCTGGGGGACCCTACCTATGCTTAAATTTCTCCAGACGCTTGCCTTAGATTTTCGAAGTGTCTTCAATTTTTCCAGGAAAATTTTCCCCGGCAGGAAGAATTTTTTTTAAAAACAAATGTATAGAAAATTTTAATAGGTGGTTTTAGCGCATGTCAATTATTTCAGTTGAATCCTTAGGACTGAGTGTTTAGTTTACAATTCATATATTCATAATTATAATGTCGTGCGCAGCACGTGAACCGAGCGTGGTCTTCGCCTGCTGCAGAACTGGATGCCCCATTATTCCATCTTTCTTCCTATCAATAGGTGCTTGGTGTCCGCCAATGACGTCATGTAGCATTAAATGTTTCCAGGCAACATAGACCTTGCGACATAGACCTTGCAACATAGACTAGCGCGCACTTTCGTGCTGTATTCATGAAGGGCTGATGAGTTTAATAAAGTCTGTGAAACAATGTTTACAATCAGTGAATCCCGGGCAATTTCCCATCATTCGACGGCCGCTGAACAGCCGTTGAACAGATGTCAGAAGTCAAACGACACCTATGAGAGAGGTGTTTTAACTTATTGACACAATCAATCACGCGACGGAGGAAAGTACGACCCCCGTGGACAATCTGACACGCAAAGTTTAACGATCTCGCTAAATATTGCAGTTGACGTTTAGAGCCAGATACTTGTGCTGAGAGGGCATAGACCAGATTATTCAGTCATGATAATTTATCCACGGGTAAACGAACAGTCATAGATGTGGAATCAAGTTCAATTCCCAAAAACGTGACGCGCTGAGTAGGAGAAACGACTTTATGCCAGCCCACACATTAAATCCGAGAGAATGAAGCAAGCGGATAAGAGTGACAAGTCCCATTTGACATTCGGCTCGAGTACTTCTGATGAAGAGAAAATCATCAAGGTAGTTGATCATGGCATGAAAACCGCAGCGAGCCATCATGCGAACAATAGCGTTAGAGATAGATGGGGCGCAAAAGAGACCGAAAGAGAGTCAGTTACGTTATCCACGTAATAGTTGTAGCGGGAAGAATCCTGTGTCCCGAACATCCAACGAAAACCCTGTAATTCTCTTTTTTTTTGGGGGGTGGGGGGGGGACACCGGGACCCAACGCTAAGCTGACTCGATATCAACAATCGAGTGAAAACAGTTCGGAGAAGAAAACAACACCGCGTTGTCAACTGAGTTCATGCGAAACGAATCTCTTGTGATGCAGAAGCTTCAAAAAGGATAACTTTGAAAAAAAGTTTGTCTCCCTGGAAAAGTGTCTTAATGTCTGGTCCTCTAGGGATTTAATACCCTTTGGAAAAATAACCATTATCAAAAGTTTAGCTCTTTCAAAAATAATTTTCATTTCCTCTGTTCTCAGCGTTCTCACTAGTTTTGTCGATCAAGTGAACAAATCTGTATCCAACTTTATATGGAGCCACAAACCACCCAAAATCAAGCGCTCAACAATGATTGGAAGGATAAAAGACGGCGGACTCAGCATGCCTGATTTCGATATAATAGGGAAATCTTTGAAGGCAGGGTGGGTAAAACGTCTTTTAGACCCTCAAACGCAATCTTGGAAGACAACCCCGTTTAGGCTTTTAGACAGTGTGGTTGGCCCGTTGTTGTTTAAATGTAATTATCATTCGATGCAAATGCTTCTTCCTTTTCATTGGCCGAGAGCCCACCACGTGACCTGCAAACAACTGCCTTAAATAATGGTGTGCTCATGCGCAATGTCGTTCAACTGTTTTTGGCTGCAATACTATTCTGCTTATGCGTAAATGAAACCACGCTTGCTCCTTCTTGCGATCATGGCAGATCGCATCGCCGACTCGGCAGAGAGCGATTTGGCATGTTTACTCGATCCGAATACGAAGGATATGAAGCCCGGCATATAATGGCAGTGTCCGGTCACAGGAATGAAAGTTGTATCGGGAGTTATTCTTCCCAAACAAGCTTGAGCACGAATAGGAAAAGTTCGGAGACATTATCCGAATCACTGAACGATAACAAGACCGTAAACCATAGCGAGAATCCTGCCGCAGAGAGTGCACTGCAACCACTTCTCACAGCCTCTCAAGAAGCGCACATTAGTATCGAACAATCTAACACACAGCAGACAGTTAAGAATTGTTACAACTGCACTTTTAACTTTTACTCTTAAAAGTAAATTTTCAGCCAGCCTGTTGATGCTACTCATTATTGAATGAATACGTTTTACCTTTTTTCGGATTTCAAGTTCTTGAAGACTGTAAACTTATTCTTAAAATCTTCACGAGTTTAATTGATGGATACATTTTGTTAGGGAACGGTTAACTGTATTTACAAGTTAAAGTCGAAAGAGTAAATTATTGAAATGAGAAGGAAACCATTTGATCTCTGTCATTACTCTGGGAAGGTAGCGCGCGCTAACCGCTTTCCGAAGATATTATGTATTAAAAAACAAACTCAGTGATCGAATGATAAAACAATTATTGAACTCGGTTATGGCAAAATATCGTGATTTGTCGGTGTCTTGCAGATCAATTATTTGCCTCAGCCTTCGGCTTCGGCAAATAATTGATCTGCTCGCCACCGACAAATTACGATATTTTGCTCAACCTCGTCCAATAATTGCTAATTACTCGTTAAGAACTTTGCCCGAACTCC